TTAATAAAAAAAGAATGAATAATTACACTTGGTTTAAGTTATTTGTATGCTTTCATTTTAAATAACAAAATAATTGATGTTGACCTAGTATTTTATCCTTTTTACTATAAATCTTTTTGGTTTTTAGTTATGTAATAGTATAAGAAGAACTATTTTAAATATGATGATTATCATTAAATTAAAATAAAACTCTATTGTTAACAATCTCTAAAAACTAAATACCCATATTGAGATATGATACAAAATCTCAATTTTACTTAAAAATAATTGATTTCATTAAATTCAAAACTTGATTCTTATACCTAATCATTGATATTTCTTAGTAATTGATGGTAAAACCTAGACAATAATCCTAAATGAAATTATAAATAGATTTTATTATTAATTGAGTTTATCGACTTTATAAATTAGTTTCTACTCAATAAAGATTCAAGTTCTTTTTTTAACCTAGTATTTTGATTCATCTGATAAAAACTAAAAAAGCTATTCTCATTTTATTTTTTTATTATAATCTTCTCTCCCTTATTATGAAATATTGAATTTGATTTAATCCTCTAAATTGCTATTTTAATCCTTAGTTTCAATAAAATCTTCTATTAAATTTATTTTCAATTATTTCTAATTTTTAATTTTCTACAATACAGCAATATTGATTTCATCTTCAGATTAATCTTCCATTTCAAGAATTGTTAATTCCAAAATTATTGACAAATTTTATATAATCATTTTCAAAATCTATTATTTTTTTTTATATAATTTCATTGTTTTTTCTAATCTAAGGAAATTTATAATTGATATTTTGTATGTTGAAATAACTCAAGACTGTCTATTTGAAAATAGGATTAATATCTGGTGTAATATATATAATTTCTAAAATAAGCTTTAATTGAACATTTAAAAACTTTTTGATTCAATGTTAGTGATTGAGATAGAAGTATTTATATTTCTAATTAATATTAAATGATTAAAGTAATAATAAATGTTTATTAATTAAAATTATAAAGTAACAATCTATTAAATTCAAATTATCTGATATTATTCGTGATAGACTTCTAAAAAGAATTATATCTCTAAAAACATAATAACTTAATTAATCGGTTAAACACATATTTAGAATATGATTTACTAATTTACTTAACAAAAAAGGAATTAACTTCTATATTATATGTATTTGTTTTTGAGTGCTAAAATTATTATGCTTCTTCAATATTAATTAAATGAAATCAAAGAATTTTAGATTAAAAAATTTATTTATAATATTTTTTCTATTTTTAAGAAATAAGTTCAAATACATTAATTTAAAGTGAATGAAAGTAATTTTTTCTAATTATTTTTAATTTAATTTATATTTTGTAGTAGGATAAACGAAAATAAGATATCATTATGTAATAATGTATGATTTATAATCAATCATCAATCAACTTATACTATTGTATTTTTTAAAATTTTAATGATTTTTGATTCATCATATTTATAGGAAATCGTTTCATTAAATTATTTCTCAAAACAAAATTTCATAAAACTACAAACACGATATCCACAAGAATAACTATCTCGTTGCTGGCCTGAGTTTTAGTGATTCATCTTATTGTTAATGTTCATCTTAAATAACATTTCTAAAGTTGTTATTAATTTTTCGTCAGATTTTTGTTTATCATAAAACATTGATGAAGAGTCAAAAATCTCAACTTATTCTAATTCAGCATCAAATAACAAAAAATACCAATGAAAATTTCTTTAATTAATAGGTAATCCTATTTTTTTATAAATTTTTGTTATTTCTAAATTCATTTATGAATATTCAAGTAATTCTTATTTCATTAATTTCTTTACTTTATCTAAATCATATTTATCACCAAAATTTGTAGTAAAACTACTTGGTAAAAATAATATTCTTTTAATTTCTTTCCTCTTTGATTATTTAAATTGAAAATATTTTTCTTCACCTTCTAGATTAAGTTTAAGAACATAGCCATCAATAATAGAACTAGTAAGCCATTTTCTACTATCTAAAATAGAAATATCATTAATTGAAATCTACTAATTATATTTGCACCATATCTGTTAAACCTAATTTTTTGCCTTTCTATTATTTTATTTTAAATTAACCTACTTTCCAGTATCCATATCAATAATAATTATTGTATGCTGCTTCTTTTTCTCCATTTGATTTTAATTACAATTCATAATTTTTGGATCTTCTAAAAATTTTCCTTTTTCAAATTTTCCTTAATGTTTGATTATTTCTGATTTCCCACAATATTCCACACCTTCCCCATTTAATTAAAATTCTTTTTTTTCTAAATTTATCTAAAAAATCCCTTTCTATATTGTAAATTTTGGATTTTTGTTTTTATCGTATTCAGTTTTGTAAATAAACCCTTCAACTTCATAATCATAACCTTGAGATGATTTTATTTTCAATTTTTTTTGATCACAATAAAACTGAATATTTTAGAAAAGGAGTAAAGATTAATCTTTTAGATTTATAAGATCGAAATCATATTTCTCACAATTTTGATCCCATTAATCGTCATTTATTTAATAAGAATTCGCCAAAAATGTTTTTCTTTTGGAATGATCACATTCTTAAGTTGCTAATTAACATTATTATCGAATTATTGAATTCTACTTTTAATGTTCAGGATTTTTTTAGAAATTTGGATAATTTATTTCTTAATGTGTATGTGTTTAATAATGGGCTTATTATTGATATTTTTCATGTTTGTTATTTTCTACGTGATATATTTTTTTTGGTTATTTCTTTGGGCATATTCCTTTTTTAAAAGAAAATTTTACCTAATAAGCATCCCATTCTTGATAACTATAAATATTTATTATTAAAACCTTATTTAAAATACTAATTTAAATTATGTCTTTAAAGGGCTATAGTCTTTATAAAAAATAACTTACCCTCATAAATAGAAATAAGTAAAAAATTACAGAAAAAAAATGAACATTTTATACATTTAATTAATATTTATAAATAAATTTAACATTCTACTTTTTATATATTCAATAATATTTGACAACTGGATAAAGATGAGTAAACTATATATTCAAATTTAGATTATATATATATTGAATTGAAATTAATTTCAAAAAAAATTCTTTTAAAGATTCTACCATTATCTTCTACTATCTTAATAACAAAAAGATTTATTTGATAATTATGATATTTCAGAATAAATATTAATCAATCTCAGAAATTATTAATGATATTTTTCAAAATCTAAGATATAATTGATTTATTCAATATACAACATAAAAATATCCAAATTTTCAAATTCTGATAATAAAATTACCCAATTAAATATATGTTTTGTTAATTATATTGTAAATAAGTTTAAATGCAGAACCTTCAAGCAAGATTTAGTATAATTTTATTAGCTTAGAGAGTTAATTTGGATTTTAATTTATCCCTAAAAGATTTATATGATACATTTGTGTTATTACAACTCTTTAGCTGCATATATAAATTTCTACTTGGATTTATTTGTTAAATAAAGATCTAAAAATTTAAATATAAGTTTCTTTTCTTCTATCTAAGTACAATTTTATTGATATGGATTTCTAATCATAAGAATTTCTAATACATTCAAAAAATAAATTTAAATTTAAATCAACCTGGGGATCAGAATATAGAGCTTCCCTGATGAAGGGATAATGAAAAGGCTAATTGAATACTAGCCAAAAGGCAGTACCACCCTATCATTAGACTTTCGATGACAATTGTTTAGATTTAACAATCTTGATAGATTAATCAAGAGGAAAGCCTAGAAAGGATCAATTGATCCTGAAGGAAGAGATCAATTCATTTTTTATTTTATTTTTGAAAGGATTTATTATAAAAAATGAACTCAAAGATTATAATATGAAAATTATCTTAAAGTAAATTATCAATCTAAGATATTTTTTGTTGAAAAGATTGATTACTTTATTGAAAATAATTATTTTAGATAAATATTTCTTTACTAAAATGAAATTTATCAAAAATAAACCAAACAAAATAAATGGATTCAACAAAAACGAAAAATTTTTTGGAGTGAATAAATATAAAATTATTCTCACTTTATTCTTAAAAGTAAAATTATTGGCTCAAGAAACCTTAAGGTTTTAAAATTAATAAAATAATATGAGATTAATGATAAAATTGAAATAGTTAAATCAACAGTCGAAGGATAAAATTCTGAATAACTTTTTTAAGCTTGCATTATTATAAATTTGTTTTCACTTTAGTCTGAATTATATAAAAACAAGCTTAAAATTTCATAATATTTATACTTTAGCTGTCTTTAAGATGCGTAATAAACTTTGATTAAAAAATAATAAATAAAATTTTAAACTTAATAATGAAACTTAGCACCATTTAATAATCAGAAGCTTCAATGATTTGTATAAATCAAGAGGTCTTGTAAAAATCTACTGAATAAGTTGGTTTACTTTGGGATTACTATTGGAACAGATTTGTCACTATTAAATTTTATATTACATTTACTAATAAAAAGGAAATCAAAATAACAACAACTGATGGATTTATTTTAAGGGTGTAATAAATCATTAGTATATTTAAATTAGAGATTCATAAGAAAATATATCCAATTTAATACATAATTTAGAATAGATCAAACATCTATAATGGTTAGAATAATCAAAACCTAGTTTAAATAAAGTTGGCAAGTGGACTCTTATATGGAAAGGTCTAATTGTTAAAAATGTGGGTGGGGATTACATTAATGGTATTAAATAAGGTTAATGGAAAGAACCAATACAGAATTATTGGACGTAATTAAAATATATTTCTTTTCTTTTTAGATTAGCTTAAGTATATGAAATGGGAGAATACGAGAATGGCTAGAAAAGAGGAAAATGGCAATATATTTATGAAGATTAAGAAATGTAATAAGAAAATTACAATATATATTTTAAGAGGTGGAGGTTAATATGATAATCAGTATTAAAAGAATGGAAGATGGATTGAATTGAGCCAAAATTTTATGAGGTATTTAAAATAATAAATGATCTCTTAGATATTGTTAAGTTATCTATGATGGTGAATATAAAAATGATAAAAAGATTAATAAATGGGATTTCAAACATAGATTTTCAAATATTTACCCATTTGAATAAATGTATCAATATGTAATATTTTTAATAGTGGTGGTGGATCATATAATTAAGAAGGTTCTAAGATTGGCTAATGGATCGAATTAATAAATAATTTCTATGGGTATTTAATTATTATATAACAATAAAATACTTAGTTAAAGATAAGTTACATTTAATGGTGAATATGATAATTGTCAAAAAGTGGGTAAATGGGATACATATTTTAGAAGTGACGGTCTTTTCTCATGTTAATTTAATTTAATGTAAGAATTTTAATAAGATTTTATTTATTTATATAATTTAGTGGGGGTGGATCATATGATAATCAAGGTTTGAAGAATGGAAAATGGGTTGATTTAAGCAATAATTTCTATAAGTATTTGAGTCATATCCATTCAATTATAATTAGATATAGTTAAGTCACTTATGAGGGAAATTATAAAAATGGAATAAAGATTGATAAATGGATTATCAATTATAAAAGTGATAATTTAGAATAGATGTAGAAATAATTCTATATATTATTAGTGGAGGTGGATTTTATGATTTACAAGGTAATAAATATGGTATTTGGATTGAATTAAGTGAAGATTTTAGATTGTATAAATATAAATATATATAAATAAGAGATAGTTAAATCATTTATAAGGGTGAATATGATAAAGGGAATAAAGTTGGGAAGTGGAACATTATGTTTAGATAGATTGATGTATTTGAATAAATGTAATTTAATAATTCTATTTAAATTAAGTGGTGGTGGTAATTATAATGAGTATAATACTAAAATTGGAAAATGGACAGAATTAAGCGAAAGTTTTTATAGGTATTCTATCAAAATTTATAATCAAAGTGGAAGTAAAATTATCTATTAAGGGGAATATTATATTGGTAATAAAATTGGTTTATGGAATATTCTATGGAAAGATGAAATGAAAATTTTCAATATGTATTAATTTATTAATAAATTTCAATTAAATTTATTAGAGGAGGAGGATTATATGATAATGGTTAAAAGTATGGAAGTTGGAATGAGTCGACTAATTACTTTAAGTAGTAATATTTATATTTAAATTAATAAATAATAAAGAGATTGCTTAGTTACATATCATGGTTAATATAAGAACAGATAAAAGATAGGAAAATGGTATATTAAATTTAATATCAACAATCAATCGGAGAATATGTAAAAAATATAAATTAATTTTAGTGGTGGTGGATCTTATGATTAAGAAGGAATTTAAAATGGATATTGGGAGGAATTAAGAGAAGATTTTAGAAAGTATCTAAATTAATTATCAATCTTATACATCATAGTTCAAACCAAGTTAAATATATTGGAAAATATTAAAATGGTAAGAAAGTTGGAATATGGGAAGAGATTAAACGCAATCAATCATATATGAATTAAGGATTTTAGAATGTGTAATAATCTTTATAATTTATAGAGGATAACTTATCTATCCAAATGAATAGGTAGAAAATAAGGAATGAATTATTAAAAAAACAGTTTTATTAACTTAAAATATTTTCGAATTCATTATGGAAGATACATTTAATCTAATCAAATATCAATTTTTGGTAAGAATCATAAATTCAATTAAATTAAATATATCGTATCATTTTTCAAGAATGATGCAAATAATTAATTAATTAAATTCTTTTTTTTGATATATTTTATAGTAATCCATTTATAAATGGTTTGTTTAAAAAAGAAATAATATCTTATTGATATTACTTTTTTAGTAAATATTTATAATCTAATAATTTATCATTAAGAGTATCATTTTTTTTTAATCTTTAAAATATAATTTTTTATGAAATATAAAAAAATTTAGAATCTATTTGCTTTTAGAATTTATTTTTTTAAATTAATAATTTTAGCTAATACAGCATAAAATTGATTCTTTATATATTAATAGAAAATTTAAGATAATCAAGCAATTAGGATAAGGATTGAATTTTTGTATTTTAAGTTAAATCCATTCAATATCTATTTCTTTTCAATTTTTACATAATAATGGTTTAATACATAGAGATATAAAACCTGAAAAATTTATGAATGTTTGTTATTAATTTAAATTTATTTATTTTGGTTTAACCAGAAAAATTCAAATTTTGTTAAAAAAACCCTCTGATTTCACTTATTCCAGCATAATTTAAGATACATTTCATTTATTTGATTCTACTATTTAATAATTGATTTATTGGTTTAATATTTTTGTTAATTCCATCACAATGATAAAAATTATACAAATTTTTTATATTATAAAATAAAAATTGAAAAATATTCTTTTCAAAATAATTACTAATTATTTTCATAAAAGAAAATATTTCAAATATTTTTCGATTATTCAAATATAAATTAAGTTTAAAGGAAATTATTGTAAATAATTTGGAATACAATAAAATAAAACTAGATTTATATAAACCTATATTTGGATTATATGAAATTTAATTTGTTAAATAATATTAATTAAAATGATAGAAATAGAACAATTAAAGTGTTTTTAAAATCATAATAGCCCTATTTGCTCAGTAATAATAGATAAGGATTTTAATAAAAATTAAAGGTTGCTGTGCAACGAATGCATGTAAGATTTCAATGAAAATTTGTAAATTAAGGGTTTTAAAGCAATTTATCAATAGATAGAAAGCAATTTGTACTAGAATAGAGATTAAATGTGTTAGCTTTTATTCTAAAAAAAAGAAAAGCTAAAATCTTTAATAAATGATTTAAATGATTGGAAATCTTCAATTTTAAATTAAATAGATTCAATTTTAGAAGTTCTAAAATATTGGTCTGAATAGTTAATGCCAGATAAATATATTAATAAATAATAGAGTTTTATTGATTTATTAGAATAATATTTAAGAAATAGTGATTTTGGTTAAAAAGATTTTGAATAGAAGGTGAATATGATAATTGAAATAAATCAAACATCATTTGAAAAGATTAAGATAAAATTAAATAAATTTAATTCTAAAACTAAATAATTATTAGATAAATTTAAATTAACATTTATGGAAATAGGAAAAAATCCTAGTGCATAAGTGAATTTAAAATTGATAACAAAAAAGATTGGATAATCAGAGAATTGTTGGACTATAGCTTTTAATCATAATGGATAAATAATGGCTTCAGGATGTGAAAATGATATAAAAATATGGGATTTTAAAAATGGTTAAATGACTGAACTTTGCACATTAGAGGGTCATTCTGAAATTGTTAGTTGTTTAATATTTAGTAAATATTGTGATAAGTTGATTTCTAGTTCATATGATAATTCAATTCTCTTATGGTAATTAAATTAATAATAAAAATGGATATGTTCATAGAAATATTTAGAACATTAAGATAGAATTTTATGTTTAATATTAAGTAAAGATGAAAGAACATTAATTTCGGGAAGTAATGATTCAACAATAAAAGTTTGGAATGTTGATTTAAATAATTTCAAAATAAATTTCAATTATTCACTTTTAAAACATTAAAATAGAGTTTTTGGATTGTCAATGAATACTTCAGAAACTTATTTAGTTTCTTGTGGTGAAGATTGTTAAATAATAGTTTGGAAAAAAGATAAAAATAATAAATGGGAATTTAAATAAATTGTTAATTAATCAATTAAAGAATGGGGAACTAAAATAGCTTTTATTCGAGAAAATTAATTTATTTGGCTGACAGGGAAATAAACTAGTAGTGATTGTATTTGTTTTTTTGAATTAATAGATGGTAATTTTTAAGAATAATAAGAATAATTATTGAAATTGTAAGTGAATAATCAAGTAATTGATTATAGTTTATTTCCAATTATGATTGATAAATAAAAAGATATCATATTATTTAGACATAAATTACACATTTATTTGCTAACAAAAAAAATTAATGGAAAATATAACGTTATGGTAAAATTATCATTTCCTGATAATGCAACTTTTGGAATCATTACAAATGATTTCAAATATTTAGTTATTTGGGAGGAAAATAGAAATTGTTACTCTATATATGAAATCGAGTATTTTTTGGCTTGAATATCGCAAAATCATTATGAGGATAAATGTCTTTTATTATATATTTTTATAATTATCATATATAATATAATATGAAATCATTAAAATATTCTTACAAGAAATTCATTATTGAAGAATTGATATTATTTTATTACTTATTATTAATAAAAATAACATTGGTTTGGATTAATTTATTGAGAAAATATTTTAGAAAACATTTATTATTTATTTCAAGATTAATTTTATAATAGTGAATTCAATTATTTTTTTTCAACTTTTTTTATAATATGGAAAATTTAATGAAAAAAGATTTATATTTGATTTTCAGTAATGTGAGAATTAGCTAATGGTGAATTTGACAGTAAAATTTTATGAATTTTTATAATAAATTCATAATTTAGAATATTATTAAGGTTGTGTTCTACTTTATAAATTGATAATTTTTATAAAGAGCACAGTAATTAAAATAATTCAAAATAATACAAAATAATACTTCCTATTAAATATATATCTTAAAAAATATAATTTATACTTATTTAGAGATAGATTTATTGTTTCTAAGATGTTATGATCAGAGAAATATAACTTTTAATGATTTCTTTAATAACACGAAAGAGTAAACTGAATAAATAAATAGACTCTATTTATTGACTCTATTTATTATAGAAACAAAGATGACGCTGGCTATTTATCATCATATTTTGAATTTGAATTTTGTTATTAGATTTTTATCATTTAGAAAACTCAAACTGAATAAACTTTAAGCAAAAGTTATCGCTTCATTATTTTAATAAATATTTAGATTAATCTCATTTTTTAATCTTAATACGATAATAATTGAAGATAATTTTATGAATTATTTTATTTTATCTTCAAATATATACTAATCAGTGAATAAACTTTAAAATTCTAAAATTCTTCTCTTATCTTTTATTCAGCTTTTAGATTTATCGTAAAAACATTAAGAGTTAGATAATCTAAAACAGCAGTAGTGTCAGTTTACTATCAATAAATTTTAATTATTCATACCAGCAAATAGAAAAGGGATAAAATTATTATAATATGTAACTTAAATGACTAGTTTTTGAAAGTTTATTTCATTCTTTAAGGGAAAATAATACTAAACTTAAGTACAATAATATATCTTGAATTTTTAAAGATTACTTTAAGCCTTTTCAAATATA